CCATTGTTGCGCGTCCCCTCGTAGATATCCTTGAGCGAACGTAATGCGGTAGGGGTTGTGTCCCTGGTCGTTCATAGAGTAATACATGGGAAACACCGCGAAGTAGACTTCGCAGTGGTGTAAGAAGCGTGTGATGTCTGAGGAAACCCCAGTAAAGTACTCAGGCTGAGTTACTAACTTGGGTTTGACATCATTCCAGGGATTGTTGACGGCCCCTGGCGCAAGTTGCCAGGGAGGAATTGGGTCCGGGGGGGACGGTACGTGCGGCGGCACCGGCGGTTTAGGTGGTCGCGATACCGACCGTAGATTTCGATTTGCCCCCGGGGGTGGATACCCCGCGGGGTCCGGATATGGCGGCTGTTTTGGTGGGAATGGGGGTACCGTAGACCCCTTCCCCTTATCGAGGCGGGACGGCCCCGCACCTGGGTCGTCCATGTCGTCGTCGTCCTCTCCTGCCCCACCGAAGAACCCTTCGGGGAAGAAGTCCGAGGGATCCGTAGGGTGAGGCATCGGTTGAGGCCTCCTGTACGGTTCGCATCCCCGCTGTGGTACGTTGGGGTTGACCAGGTTCCAGACGATCGCCGCCCGGTGCCAGGTCTCTACTTCGAGGATGTTCTTCATCAGATATACATCCCCCATTTGCTTCGCGTGGCGATAATCTTCGCCCGCCTCGGAGAAGAGCCACTGCGGGTCTCTCTCCATATCTTCCATCATGATCTCATATAGCCCGTGCCAAGGTAATAATTCGAAGATACCCGGTCTAGGCACCGGCCCCTGAAGTAGGACCTGCTTCACCGCCGCCATTACCGTCGGTTCCAGGGCCTGGTTTGGGGGCCGACTGGGCATCCTCTGCCTTCTTCCTCTCTCGGGCGATTCGGTCAATTTCTTTGTTTCGCTTCCACCTCCCGATGTCGGAGTCCTCGTTGGAGATCTCCTCCTGATAGACTCTCCACGCTCGGGCTCTGGCCTCGAGGTCTGCTCCTGCCCTCCGGGCGTATCCGGAGTAGCGAACGGCAGCGGCTCGTACCCGGTTATCGATTTCGGTGGGAGTGGCGTCGGGCTCAACGGGTAGGTCCCAGAAGCCGTCGGGTCCGTAGAGGGCGTCCTCTTCAGCACGTCGGATGCGTGCATCGTGCGCTCGGCCTCTGTCCATTCGGGCCTGGACCTCTGGGGATTCCCTGGCAGCTCGAGTGAGTCGGAGGGACTCGACGTACGTGTGATAAAGGAGCGGCCATGGCCGCTGGGCGAGGGGGACGGGGTCCGCGAAGGCTCGCGACGAGACTGACGCCTCCCAATCGGAGACTCCGGCGCGTCGCTCGGCTGCGGTAACTGTTCCAAGTTCCTCGTTGTCGAGGTCTGGGAACTCGCCCCAAAGCTCCCCACCCTCCTGCTCGTGCGCGGTGACGGGGGTAGAGAGCGCTGGGGCCTCAGGCCCTGCAGCGATCGTGTCGGACTCAGGTCCGGTTTGCTCTCCGGCCACAGGAGTCTCTTCCCCGTTGTCGGCATAGACCCAACTGGTGCTGGGGTGCCAACCGATGGGGGGGCCTCGATTGGTTGGCCAGGCCCTTGGAAGAGACTGTGGGTAAGTTGTACTGGTGGAAGCTGCGGAGGCTCCGAGGCCAAGCTCTCCTGCATCGGCGTCGTAGTCATCCTTTTGCCTCTGTATAAACCTTCTCCGCTCTGCTCCGAGGTCGGAGTCTCCCCACTGGGCTTCGACCCACTTTGTGGACGACCTTCCGGACCAGTTGTCTCCGGAATAGGTTGCATCCTCCTCCGTATTCGGGTAGAGGTCGTCGAGGATGTCGTCGAGGCGGGTTCTTTCCCACTCGGTGAGCTCGTCCCCTTCGAACTCGGTATCAGGGCTTTCTTCGCGCGCGACCAGATGCCTGGTGTCTTGTCTTCGGCCTCCGTCGGGGCTTGACTCGCCTTCGACTGGAGACTGGTCGAAGAGACCTGGTAGGGGCGAGTCTCCTCTGTCGAGGAGTACGCCCCTGGTATCGGTGATGTCGAGGGAGTCGGTTGACTCGGCGGTGGCGCTTCTGTAGGAGTCGGTGCTCGACTCTGAGGATCGCGAGCTGGGTCGCGACGATCCGTAGAGGGACTCTCCATAGAGAGAGTGTAGCTCTAGCCGAGGGGTTTCTGGGATTGGTAGGGTCTGCTGTGAGGCCGCGGGGATATCTATCACCTGCGGGGGGTATGCGGGTGCGCTGGGCACGTAGTGGAAGGGAAGCTGAGGTCGAACCCTTCTCTGTTGCCGACAGCAGCGGAGTGTGTAATATAAAGAAATGGACAAGAAAAAGGCGATAAAAGTTACGAAGATTGCTGGAATGGCGTCGGACCAGGGCATCCGTATAGGGATCTATCCTTGGCGTAGGTCGACGATTGACCATGCAAGCTGGTATACCGCAAGAATGGTGAGAACGATTAAGAGCGCGATGATCAGGCTAAGGTCGGTTTCGTAATTAGAACCGTTCATTAACAAGATTTCACACTCGTTGGAATCAGGGGAGCTTGTTACTATTAACAAGATGATTGTCAATAGCGATGCAAGCTGGAGGGCGAGTACAAAGGGTTTCGTGTTAGGATACGTGGTCCTAAACGAGGCGAGGATATAACGAGTACAGGGCGGCCAGCAAGCTTGCTAGCAACACTGCCGGTATTCCAAGCGCGATTAGGAGGAAGGTTAAGTAAACAGTCAGAAAGACTGCGAGAAGTAGGTCGTCGTAAAGGATTGATTCAACAATTAACCGAGTTACTAACAACAGAAGGAGTAGCCGAGGGGGTATTAGCCACAAGGCTAGTGCGACGAAGTAGTGTATCGGATGAATGGTGACGGTGAGTGCTTTTCCGTTGGTCCACTCGCTGTACGTTGACAAGCACCGGGTTGTCCACACGAACGTAGGCGATGACCTCTCTGGTCAAGCGGGGTAATTTCTCGTAAAGAAGTTGGGCAGCGCTCTTTCTCGGAAGTGACGCTGAGCAACGTAGAGCGAGCTTCGGCTAAATGTTAGCCACTAACTCTAATCGACTTAGATCGTACTAAGGTCGCTACTCGCACTTCGGTAGGCAACACTCAGCAAGTCAAAGGCGACGCAAGTCAACGGGACAGATAGTCACGAAACAGGGAGCTTTGAATTAGGTAGATTAAACCTTAGCCGAAGCTGGGGTTTAGACCAGCTGAGGCTCTACTTAAATACACGTTACGTAGGCTAAAGATAGTGCCGCAGTAACGTCCGATCGAAATCGCAGCATAGAGTAAGCGTGAATACGTAAGAAAAGAAAAGGAAAAGAAAAAGAAAAGAATAACCGTAACATAGCTCCAACACAAACATCTTTACTGGTACTTGCTTCCTCCACTCCAGATTACAGACTTTACCACATCCTGGAGAGGTATTAGCTCACTGAATATGGGGATGAGAGACTGGGTTTCAGCTGCTCTTCTGCAGAGCGGGAGTTATGTTGTCCAGAATCCATCAGCGGGAAGAATCTTGGTAAGGCGCCATCGTTGCAAGGATATGATCTGGTATCTATGCATTGGAAGCTGACCTTTGTGTGGCTTTAGATGGCACAATCTCCATGACAGGCCTGTGATTCAGACAAATGGCTGTGTTGTATTGCCATGAGTGGAATGTTGACTCGGATATCCTTGGATAATTGTGATGAAACATCAGTTGGCCATGTTGCTATGACCAGAGCATACCATTCCCTCAGTACTACTTTTTGTGCTTCGGAAAATCTGGACTACAGGAGGGTTTAAATGGCCTTCATACTATGCGGGTGATTTGGTTGCTTGATATTCTTGCCACTGAGCACACACTTGTTCCACCATTTGAGGTTTTTTTAATGGAGAATTTTCATGAGACGATGCTCACCTGATAGTAAATCCTGAAACAACAATGAGGTGCATTAGACCAAGAAGTATACTAGCCGTGCTGTATCGCTGGTGTCAATGTTGAAATATTTTCTGACAGAAAATCATTGATGCACGTAGAAAGACTTGTAGCTGTTATTTTCTCCCGTGTTCCGAGCTGTCATTTTGGTAGCTCCTTGAAATTGTCTGCGGTGATTGAATTAAGTATGAGGACATCGCAGGTACAGCTCGGAACAGGGTATTAGGAATATTGGGTCCGTATCGCCTTTATAGGTGTATGTGTGCTGTCTGTCATAACAACGATTAGCGCCAATGGACTGAACCATACCTTTATGATAACAATCAGATCTTGGTACGATGTAACCTGGCCTAAATTTGGCAATCCTTATGCCTGGAAGACGTGTACGTCAGTGGATATTAATTGGGGCCACTGAAGTCGCCACTTCTTACATAGAAACTCTCTCACAGCTTGAGATAGCTGATGCTTCATACAAGCTTGATATCATAATGAAATACAGATTGTATTGAGAAGACAAGCTTGATGAGTTCACCGTGAGAACTTGAAGCACTTTAGTAGACTCATTAGCATCCACCATTCCGATTGGTTACAGTCAATATCATCGTGTAGGACTGCCTTGGGCAGCAGGCTAACCAATCGACAATGTGAAAACAGTGACAAAGACATGGAACACAGCACTTCTGTTATGCATATTAGGTCCTTTCCGATTTGTACACGAGTCAACACATGCCTGCTCTTGGTCAGTCTTGGCATTGGCTCACTGGTACTTTCTCTTAGTTTCTCTCTTCTTCTTGCTGATGCTAAGGACCCTGTAGAATAATAATAACTTGATTTATTACTAGTAGTGAAAATATTGCCCCAGTCCTTGTATTAAGAATCTTAAGCTAATTTGACACCTTTTCAAATGTCTACTTCAACAGCATCCTAAGCATCTTTGATCGGTCTTGCTGATGCCCTTGTTAAGTATGCCTTGTGCTTTGTAGCACCTTACAGATCCCTCTTGGCAGTTGAAACTCGGCTTTCAGACATCCTTGCATCAGGTTTTAATTGAGTAATTATAAACTCGTGTATTAACTCGAATATCCATATTCTTAACAGCTTCGTGTATAAAAGCAGGTCAATATGAGGTCTAGAGGATCATCAACCTCAGTTGTTTCTCTTCATTCCATCTCTTAATTTCCTTTGCATTTCACTACACGATGTTCACACCTGCTGCCGTGAGTGCCATCCTATTCTATACTATTCTACCACCTGGTCTAACATGCACCAATTCTAGTTTATTACTCTTTTGACTGCCCTTTCTGGCATCACTGCTCTGCCTTTCAGCGAGCTTGTCAGGATCCTTCCCAGGGATATTTCCCACATTGCCATGGACGAGGCCAGCGGTCATTACCTCGCTTTCAACTGGGACGGTTCTCTCTATGGTAGATATCCTGCTGATGCTGAATCCAATGGCCTCAATTGCCATGCTACCAGTCAATGTGGGCAGCTCTCAGTCGATGAAGCCAAAACTCATCAGTTAGATTTCTCTCTTCCATATTTTATGATGTTGAACAATATTTGTATAGTGCCGGGATGGGATGCCATTGTGCAGCATGCCAACGATAACTGGGGCAATGGCTCCTGCAACATTGTTACAAACCCTAGTGATGTGAGATCTGTTGTCACTTTGCCTCATACAGCTATCGCCTGACCATTCCTCCAGTACGTCGACAAGCCTGCACAGGTCTGCATTACTGATGAGGTTGTCGAGCTCAGTTTCTCCGGTATGTTCAAAATTTCACTCTTTCTATCTTGATTCTGATTCATGGACAGGTGACCCGGTCTGCCAGATGCATAACTCCACTGCAGGCAGCCTCATTGGTACCAAGGGTGAAGTTGATATCAAAGTTGACCAAGGCTTCGACACTGATACTTCTTACACCGTCACTAGTATGTTTTCTGGTTTCCCTTTTGTGACTATTCCTTTATTGATCTGGCATCCAGCTGCTTCAACTATTGGCATTGATGACACACTCACTGCCAAAGTTGGCATTCCAGAGGTAGCCGAGGTCACTGAGGCCCTGACAATCTCTACCGAGGTTATGGATACCTCTTCGAGCATGTATGTTGTACTGTCTTTGAGGCCAGAGCGCATTTGCTAAGGCAAGCTATTAGCTTCAAGGTGTCATACAATGAGTTGAGCAAAGTCACCATCAAGATGACTGCTCCAGAGGGCAAGACTTGCTCCGTTACTGTTGATGCGCTCAGTAACGGGCAGCGTGCAAATGAAACAAGCATCTAGATCATCAATCTAGATACTAAATCACACACACACACACTATCATCAATATATATAAGTTTGAGGGTGAGTATGATAGAAGCACTCACGATGTACTTAGATTTAGATAATCTAGTGGGGTTTTGTCTGAAAACAACTTCAATTCTTCTTTCGATGTGTTTTACACAAAGTACACTAGTCCACGATAGCAGGGTTTATGAACTTGTTTTGCAAGGTATAGTCGAGCAAGTTATACTCGTTTTGACGTCGTCTAGAAGAGCTTCTAGCGGACATTTCAAATAATCAAACAACCAAAGACTCCAAGGTCTACAAAGAGTGCAAAATCACTCTACAAAGAACGCTCAGGTTCTGACTTCAAGTACAAGACTTGCAAAGAGTACACAGACTCTGGAGTTCCTTGAACTCGACGATTGTTCAAACTTAAAGCATTCTAGGGCTTATTTTACTTCAACTAGATGAGGTCTTTTGACTTAAAGTCGACTCAGCACGTCTAGATCGCTAATCTCGGAGAGAGAGAGCACGAGGCCTTTGTCCATGGAGCAGTTCAATTAACTAGCAAGGCGCAAACATGGGGACGGCTCTACTTCCTACTTAACTCTTCTAGATTACTGTAGTCACCCTTATGGGTTGACTTTGGTAATTTAATTCACTTCAGTCGAGGATATGCAATAAAACCAGTGATTGATTAGGTAGCTATACAGGCTACTAGCACAAATGCAGGGGAATGCTTTCCTGCCGTTATGCGTCTAGTTGCTGCTAATTTATACGATTCGTGTTCTAGGTATAGGAGCCCGTATCTACAGTAATTATGGTACGAGCTTTGGAATTAATACAAATGGTGAGTCACTATCCTACAAGTATTGTGCCATTCCGTAGTTTCTATTCAGTTTGACGTGACTGCGCCGGTTTATCCTGTCATCGAGGAGTGCCCTACTGGTCCATGGGTGCTCCTTCTTCCATCTGCAAGGCTTGCCGCGTGCTGTATGTATTGAATACTGCAGTCTGCGCAGGATCTCAAGGATGTAACCACTGATCGCAATCGGCTGCAGGTCTGAGATTATATTCTGTTGATCACTGCGTGATCAAGGTCGGTTATCTCGGTACCCAACATGGCTATTCATTCTTCCAAGGTTATTCCTTTCCTAGCCTGAGTTGATCTCGAAAGCTGATCTGTTTCTCGACTTAGCAATTTTTCTTGACAGGTTCTTTCTACTCATCGAGGTGATGAGGCATCTAGTTCATTCCATTCTTCAACTTCTTGGTTTTTATACTTCATACAGATGAGTCCCCAAGATTTGACTGTAATAGTCTTGTTTAGGTAGGGCTTAGCTTGGCATGTTGATGGCTGGTAGAATTGACTCTTTGAGATGTCGTTTCTAAGTCCGTTCTGTACTGCTGTGCTCTCATTCTTTATGTAGTATTTAGCTACCAGCGCGAAGCCTCCACTGTAGCTCTCTGTACCGCTTGTAGATTGCATAAACTGATGTAAAATCGCAAAATCTATGGGTAGCCTGATACCAGGCATATCACCGTTAGCTTTTTTCTGTCCCGGTATTTGTTATTACCTGACTGCCCCCATCTTAGTTGATGACGAAGACTTGTACCATCCAAGCAACTGGAAACATCCGTTACCTTGCAAGTGGCTGGATTTGGTTCAACTACGATGACAAGACTGATGGTCACTACAAATGTTTGTGCATTTCTACCACTGTTTATGGGATCTGACCCACAATTTCAGGGGCTGTTAGCATCAAGACGGTCCTCACAAACCAGGATGACCGCTCCAGCTTTGCTGAGTTCAAGGGCTCTATGCTTACTAATACTCTTTCCATCTATGAGGGCAATTGCAATTTAACACATATCGATGATTCCGACATCTGACCTTTAAGAATTCAGCTTTATATGGGCTTTCTATGCCTTTTTTCCATTTCAGGCATTGATGTGCATCATTCAATCTTCTAGCTCATATATCGGCTCGTATACCAATACCTTTACCATTCACAATATATGAGCTTCCCTGTGTTGTTATAGGATGCAGGCTTTACATTGGGACCCAAAGCTCAGGCTTCTGGGAGGTGAATTGCTGAGCAAACTCATGAACATCTTTTACATGAAAAATTTACATGAATTTCATTCCAATCGCATCGATCGTCAACCGCTGCATCAGGATAATAGGTGGCTTTTTTTTCGAAGACATTCAGCATCCAACTTGAGGTCGACAGCTGACTAAATTTGAATGCCCATTGGGTCTGATTTAATCACAGTGCATCATTATGTTTATCCAGAATCATGTGATACAGATAAATATAACGATATTTGAACGATATCTAAAGCTATGGGTAAGATGTGTTTCATCGAAATGCCTGAAAAACAGCTTAACTGGTGCTGCACCCTTTTTCTATGCACATCTTTTATCAAGGGGCAGTTGTGCTATCAAGAACTCGTAGATGGTCCATTCTCTGTGACCATCGTGGCAGAAAAGCTGTAGCATTGGCTCATAAGTATACTGTCCGTGCCAATCTTTCCCAGGTGGTATCTGTGAACATAGCAATGGAGTTTCTCGTCATAATCCAACATCGTCTAGTTGCTCAATGTGTTTGAACAGACTTCACATGTTTGTGCTGGCAAGAGAAGACAGTTGCGAGGACTGTGTCACAGCCACCACGCTCCTCCCAGTGGGAGAGATCTATACCGCAGTACCATGCCTGCCAAGAATTATTGTGTCTGTACATCAGAGGGCGCCGCATCTGGAAAATACTTTAAGGATGAAGGCTTGTGGTCAGGAAAAGAGGAAGTAGAGCTCAAGCAAGTTGAGCAGCTCAGACGCCAAGTGATCATTGTTCTCAGCCTGGATGAGAATGTAATTGGGGTGGCGCTCATGCCATCGACACAGCCAAAAGAGTGGGAGGAGAAGGGGTGGTGATTTGTAGAGATGGGAGGAGTGCACGCATGACCAGGATGGTTTTTGTGGCGAAAACAACTTTGATGCATTGGTTCAGCTGTGAGTCGTCTACATCATCGAGATAGGTGTACCCGTCAATATTCCAGCCATAGATCAGTGTCTGCGAGACATAGTGTCATGAAGTCGCTACTCAGGTTGACAAGGTGGAAGTACATATCGATGGAATGGATTTCATGAATGTCCTGACAAAATTCAGTAGCGCAATTCTTCACGACATGTGCAAGTCAGTTGTTGTTTGTTCATCAAACAAACAGGTGCTTACCTATCCAATGCTACTGCCATGCTCGACTCAAACTCAGGATCTGCCTTAAGCTTCAGCCCAGTAAATATCACATCTTTTGATAACCATTGGCAGTACCTGTGCATATGTGCAATATCCCAGATTGTCAAGGCCGACCAGATCCGACCTTCTGTCCCTATCCTCTGTGTACCTAATTGTGTCACTGACTATTACACTTACTGGCTAATAGCGAGTCTAGTCACGACCTTGAATTTTAAAATGGAAAGCGGTGAATACTATTTTGGCATTTACCTCCGCAGATGGTTCCTGGAAGATGTGAGAATGAATATATGCAGGGATGAGGAAACTGATATATGCAGCCATGAATGATCTGAATAATTTCCGAAGACAGAGGCACTGAAGTCGCATGCCCACATAGGGAACGAACAATGTCTGTAGGCTAGTACTAGCAGGACAGCGAACAGGAACGACTACTGTGTTGCTTGCAGAGCTTCAATTATTAGCGAAAAAGCGAAAAACTGTTGAGCAGCAAACCCTACTGGAAGGGCCTTCAAAAGAGCCAGCTGTCAGAGGAATCGCTGCATAATATACCTACATGAATGGTGAATCAAAATTGCTTGACATTCTCTGGCATTTACAGCTGGGATGAATGTGCGGCGAGTTTTATTAATTTCCATCCACGGTTTACCATATGGAACAAAATGAGTGAAGGCTATTAAGTACTCCACCGGCAGAAGTCGCTGGTTGGCAAGCCAAAAGCTCGGTGATCCAATCCGATATATTTGCACCTATTTGACCTCATGGGCTCATGTTTCATGCCTTGCTTCTCTCTTACCGACACCAACCTAGGTATGCCATCTGTTCCACTCTGCTTAGTTTTGTACTTATCCTGGGACACATATAGAAGAAAATGCACTGTTTTTCATTCATTTATATGGCAGGATTAACGCGTGATAACCAGGTGACTACAACTCCAAGACTACTCGTCAAGCAGGCCATTATCTTGCCTTTAGCTTGAATATGGTTGTGATGGGGAAATAATGTGCTCATCTTTTATTGAGGTGCTCCTGTCCAACCAAGAGAAAATCAGAGCCACCATTGTAGAGTTCCAGTGCTGGGTACTGGTGTGATGGTGTGAGGGCTATCCCAATTTTTCCATCTTCCGTCTAACACAAACCTACAGTCCATTTTGATACTGGTACAAACCATTCATGACCATAAGGAAACAAATGGAGGCGAGGACAAGGCAGATTGTGACCATTGTCTAATATGCATTGACTGCCAAGGCTCCACAAAGGTGATGACGATCCGCACCCACGACAATTGTATGTTGCTCAGTCTGAAGCAGGCTTTCGGAGGGCCTGGTTTCCTAAATGCTAGCTTAGCACATGCATATAGTCTTCGCTGACATACTTACACTTGCATTCTAACGGACTGGCTTCATAGTCATTCACGAAGATAGACAGGGTGCTCGCTCTACCAACAGAAGAAGCACCATGCCTCAAAAAAATGCAACATCAACTTCCCTGGCCAGCTAGTCTATGTTCGTTCATCGAGAGGGTCATGCCATTCCTCCGAAAATGTCTTTCTTCAAGGTGTCTTTATGAGTATTATCATCTCTTCCCATCCTCTCAGATCTATTTGCATCATCCCAGCTTTTCGCAATGGGATACAGCATCAAATACCACAAGAATGGAATTAGGCGATTATGCATCAATTCGGGCATGTTTCTTGCAGATCGCACATGCACCAGGAACCTCCTTCTGGCGTCTAAAGATGGAATGTTTTCTTTGTGGAGAACGGTACGTTTTCTCAGTATGTTTATCAGTCAGTGCCTGATTTATACATACAGTAAGTGAAGCAAAAATACGTGAAAATCTCAAGCCAGTGAGGCCACTCTTGGGCAAATATCGACCCGTCTTGTTCACCCCATGAAGCCAATTATCAAGAGTTCTTGCTGCACCATATTGGGGGAAGACATTCGAAATGGTACGTCCAACTCTTATTCCCGTATCTTCCACCCAACACAACAGCCCTAGAAAAAGTGTCTATGCTACTTTGACAAGACCCCACTAGTTCGCAAACACGGAACCAGATAGTGTCGTTGCAGCAGCACTAAATTTGTAGATGCTACTAACGCAACTCTCGATTATAACCAAACTGCGGTCTATCACACCTCTGATTTGCTCAGCCTCGAACTTCGCAATACACCTCAATGCTTCTCATCAAGGAACATTGGCTATGTTTCTCAGATACTAGTGCTTCGGCGAAGCATTGCAGCAGATCTCTCCCGTCGACACGCTCAAAGTATGTCTTCTAATCTCCCTCCACGAGCTTTGTTTTCTCATTGCGCATACAACGAACCCTACAAATGGAGGAGAATTACTGCTAATGGTGGCACTCGAGGAGACGGATGAGTAATTATATTCAGGATAAGGTATAGTCTCTCCTCCGCCTTCTGTCACAATCTGCTTCCCATTTGCTGCAGATATATCGCTCAATGATAGAGAGAATCATTGTTGGACTGCAGCACCAACACGTTCTCCCGAAGAACCCTTGCTTCCTCCACAGAAGAGGACTCGCGATGGAGAAACATGTCCTGCCAACACAACACTTCCGTATTTTGGGAGAGAGGATGACTGGGAACTAAAGATCTGATATTGGCGGATCTTTTACAACAGCGGAGGAATCCTTGTCCTGGGATGAATCCTGATGAGACAATTAGCGCTACCATTTCCATGCGACGATGATACCGTGTGAGGGCACTTGATGCCCCTCAAAGCAGACCCTCATGACAATGTGGCTTTCCTGGTAGAGAATGGTTCGTTAGCCCTTTGTTATTGCTCACTGTATCCTCTGATGACCAATAAAGCAAGCATTATACCTTCGAAGTTATTGGCCTCGGAGGCTGCTCAATTGCTTTTGCACGAAGTATTGACCATCAAACTGAGTCTTTCGATAATCCCTCCCAACATGTTTTGTCATGGCAACAGTCATTGGATCGTCATTTTTAGTGGCATCTGTTTTCCTGCACTCAAGGTATGCTTGCCTGCCGTCGTTCACCTTTAGTTTCTGATCAAGTATGCAGGAGGTCTCATTGACTTGCTTACCTAGGATGACAACGTTGAGACAGGATTTTTACTCACATCCCAAAGATATACCTCAAACCCGATGCCACAGTTCATTGTATATGACAGCCCAGAACCAGTGTAGGGCACATATATTGTGAGTACTCAAGTGCTCTATCTATGATATGAGATCGTTTTGACATTTATCATGGAGATTCAGCCATGCGTTTGATGTTTGTATGTTCTCTCTCGATAATATTATCGTTACCTTTGAGCGTCTATCTTTCAGCAATGTGGCTGATGGTGACACGATTGGTCGTCTTCCAGGCCGCATGGTTTTGGTGTTTTTTTCTTCCCACAGGACAGCATAATAAACTTGGTCGGGTCTGCGATCTACAATCACGTTGAGCCTCTCCTGCAATCTGACGACTCTGAGGTTGATGCAGGGAATGTTGGCTAGATTGGATGATATGACAGGTTCTGTACCACTGTAGGCACTTTTTTTCGGGACTGAAACAGTCGATTCCTCTCGGCAGGCCTCAGTGAGCGTGGAGAGAATGACTTCAGGGCAAACCATATGTATCCTTTCCGTTTCCATTTCTCACTCATAGTCTTGTGAGTCTTTATGGAAGTTCATCCCTGCTCATAGCTGAATGAGGCTACAATCCATTGAAAGCAGGCCAAACACACATACTCGACATGTCATACAAACTAGACACTTCTCCCCTGACAAATGGCCCTGCAAATTACCACATACGAAGCCGATGCCACTAGATAAGGTTCTTGAAATCTTCATCACACAAAATCACAACTTTGGCACTGCCTACGCTTATTTGCACCATGGCTGGAGGAAATCCACCATCCTCAGATATAGTGATGAAGTGGACCAGAACAGTTGACAAAATATGATTGTTGATGGCTTGATCAGGGGGTCCATAGCTGCATCCCCTTGGTGCATCTAGGATCTGTATGCAAATCGTCCTCTGATTCGTGGGTATGACCTCACTTCCAAAAATTTCAAGAATGTTCTCTCTGCCTCTCGCAAAGTTAAAGAATCACTGAAGAGCTTGGAATGGAAACAGCTTCTCTCCTTCTTGCACAATCCTAACATGGGCGGGGTTATACTCAGTGTGACGAAAGCTGGATGAGTTCTGAAGGATTTCGAGATGCTATAAAAAACGACGGACAATGTGTTAGCAAGAATCGATGTGCTTGAAAATCATCCAGAGCCATTGTTAGGTTGGTTTTTCTCTTTTGATAGCTTCAGCAGGGATTAACGTACTTTGCGTAGCCCATATATGACCGTCTGCCTTTGTGTTCTTGACACTGGATAAGTTCGTCGAGAAGGTACGCTAATTATTATTCCTTGCTTTCAGCTTGTTCATGGATTCTATGGCATTGTAGTCGATACTGAATACATATTTGCTATTGTTCCTGAGCAAATGATAAATTAATATGATGCTTACGCTTGGTTAAAACCATCATAGTGAAGATTCTGGGGGGAACATATAAGGACTTCCCAATGACAGAAACTCGATTGTAATAGAGGGTATTTGTGGTAGAGTATCGGATATCAAGTCTCTGTAGATGCACAGCACTTTCTATGTAGTCCGTCCTTCATGATACTCTGGCGGTAGGTCGTCCTCAGAGACATTCCATCAGCCCAGCTGCAGTCGTTCATTGAGCAACCTCAGCAACTCCTCCGTCGGCATATTCTCTCTGTTTTCCGTCTGCAGTGGATTTGGCAGAGTAAGTGTGGTCGTCAACTCAGTCTGTACATCCATCCTTCTCCGCACTGCATCTTTCTCCAATGCTCTTGAAGACAAAGAGGACTCCCCTTCACTTGCAGCTACGGGGTATCTAGCATATTTTGCCTGGTTCCCATGGCGCTCTCCTGATATTTCTGAAGAGGTCACAGTTGATGTAGCCATGAACGGGGTGAGAATTCGTGGGGAAGAGTTGTTCCCAACAGAATGGCTCCCGTTCTTGCTTCGACGATGTAGTCTACACAACAGAAAGATACCCACAATTATAACTGCGAGAACTGCTAGTCCACTGACGACACCGCCGACTATCGCTCCAGTCACGCTTTTCTTTGGTAGTAGGGATGGGCTTGTGACGTTACTTGGGCTAGGGATGGTGCTCAATGTGGGAGTATCACTCAATGTCGATGATGGCTGATTGTCTGCAAGCTGTATTATGCTGAGCAATGCGCTTATTGCTACAGTCTGGTTATCACTGGAGAATGACGTGCTTGGTGGTCCAGTCCAGGGTATTCCATAAATGTTACTACCGCCTGAAGTGGCCTGATTAATGACAGCATTATACTGTGCCAAATTTGAATAAGCCATATAAACCGAAGGAGTAGATTTTATGAGGGCGCACCTGCACACCAATGTACTCCCTGACATATTCTCGAAGATCTGAGGCTGTTGTGTTGTGCTCATATAACGCTGCCAAGGCCCGCATGATGTAATGTCCTCCAGTAGTCATAGCTTCATTGTCAAACAACAACGATGAGATTGCAAGATAGAGTTATGGACAAAAGGAACATACTTCCGATGACTCCGTCCAACCCTTGCCATAGCGTATCAGCTGCAACAGCAATGATAGTACTGCACAATCTAGCAAAAGTCATGATTCAGTATGTCAACAGTCAGAATCTGTTAAGACATACAAAGCTTCAGTTGACGCGTCACGGTGAGATCTGATAGGACGACCAATCCTTCAATGAAGATCCCGGAATTGTACGAGTACACCATCGAATCTACGGAGCAAGATTCATTTGACTGCGACAAAATAGAATCCAGTACGATATTAGACAGATTGAGTAGATGTGCCTGTATGAAATTTGCTGACTCGATGGCTGCATTGAGATATGTCTGATTGGATGTTGCTTCTGCCAATAGAGCAGAAACGCTTCATCGTAGTCAGTCAACCGTGGTCTCAGGATATTGCGAAGCTTACACAAGGAAGAAACTGGTTTTGCAGAGTCAATTACAAAGCAAAGATAACAGAAAAGAAAACGAACCCGGATGCCAGACTGGCGAGCTTTGGCTGGTTGGAATCAAGGCTCTAGTTCCTTGATTAATTAATGAAACGTTGATGTAAATCATGACTCACCCAATAGGTACCACCCACTAAAGTTACTATGGGCAGCGATCAGTACATCAATCAGCTGTAGGCGTTTGTGACACTCAGCGCCCTGGCATGATGATGAGAGGTTGAATTGCTTCGATTCCATGGTATCCGAGGCAGCTTGCTCATCAGATATGGTATATTTCCTCGCAGAAATCCATGAAGTTACAGCTAGCTAGAGGAAATCTGGGTCTTGATAGGCGGTGTAAGCCCGAGCTGCAGCATATCCATAATTCCTGGAGAAAATAAACAAGATAATGATGTCAGCATGTGAATTATCTCACAGGCCATAGTTCAGCTATCGTCAAGAATAATATCTGTCAGTCATTCGGAAAGTGCTCGAAGTAAAACAGAACTAACGCTGAATCCCAGTTAGCAGCGATATGGAAAATACGGCAAAATCATACTAACAACATATTCAAAAAGTCAGAATTGACGGACTCGGCAAGTGCGAAACACTGTTTCAATGTTTCCTTGTATTTTGTTTGGTTTGTCAGTCTATCAAATTTGGCCATTTGTGCGTAAAGCCTGCCAGGGGTTCCATATGCGGAATCTGATGATGGTTTTAAAATTGGAAGCGCGACATCGAATGTAGATGAAACGTGCCACTGAATTGCCCATTGGACTGGAGCATGCTAACTGCTTTTTCGAGAGCAGCACTCGTGATGGTAATGCGGTCATCCTTCGACAATGTGATGTTAGGATTCTAGTTCTTATGTTAGCATTTACTGTTGTCAACCAGAGAAGCGTCACTCACCTTCCAGGACGTCGATGGTGTTAGATCTTGTGCTGCACCTGATGTCATAAATGGAGCGACCAACATCTATACAAGAACAAGAGTCCTCATTTCTAGAGACTAGATTCGTCTGTCTCGTAAGATAATAGAAATGATGGGCGGGAGATGAATGAGTCGGCAAGAAAATGGAAATCGAGGCATTATATAACTCAGAGATCATCAGCCAGGGGCTATATGTAAAACAATGCGACAATCATATCTGACCCTGGTTACAGAGGACGAGGTCAATGATTTTCATTTTCATCATTGTCCCTTGGAGGCATTCTTGATCCTTGAGCTTGAATGTGATTTCGCAGTAGTAAGAATTTGCGAGAGCAACTTCCTAACTAGTAGTGCCCGAACAAATTTGGGAATGCCATGCTGAGGCAGTAGGACTGGAAACAGAGAGAAGACCGAGTGTTGACACTGATTACTCGCACAAAGCACATCAAGGTTGATTGATTGACGTAGGTCACCATCAGCAGGGCAAGGTCTGTATCACTAGGCTGATCAATGAAACCGGAGGTTAGAACAGATCTTTAACAAAATGAAAGTGCCCACCCAAATCACTGTAGCAATCAAATATCGTGAGGTCCGACCAACAGGCAATGGCTACTACTAGTGAGTTAGTCGCAGGCACGAAGCTGATCGGCTCAGATTGAAGATTCCGAAGGGTGACCGGACCTGCCCTCATAGCATCACGTGATTACAATTACTGCCGGCGGCAAGAGCTTCTTAGAACGCCATACAGGACATCTATGAAAACGTCCGAGCAACCCAAATACCGAGAGGTGTCGGAAGTTGTTCCATTACTGTTGAGTGTCACTAGTTTATCTAATTGTGTCGCTCATTTAGGACTCTGATGGTAGCCAAAAGCAGCCCCCCGGAAACGTCTCCCGGGGGCCCTAAAAACATCGATTTTACGACACTGAGTCTGGTAGGACAGCCTGAGAGGGTGAGTGAGAGAGCGATGTGGCTCCTCTCTACGCTGCACTGTCTTAACAGGAACCCGGTCTTCGAGCAAGTGTCGGGCTAAGATCACCGCGAGGATCTCGGTCCCTCGAACGGCACTATGAAGAGGATCCCGGTCCCCTGGGTGACTTGATCTGACATCCCGGTACCAATCTCCATTCTGCCCTTGCCGCAATTCGACTTGCATAAAGCTTTAAACCCATTTTATCGATAAGATAGGTAATGAACAGCAATAGAAAATGGAGAAACACAAGCAGGGCCGGGGGGTAAGTTCTAATATCCATACCGTCATGTTCTTGGCAGCTCACTCATATGGAATATTGGCAGGGTCGCAAATCCGCTCAAGTTCCTCTCAGCGTCTGCTCCTCCAGACATAAGGCTCCGGTGCTATAGTCTACCCCAAATTCTTGTTCTTTGTTCTGATGGCTGGCACCGGCCCACATGCACGGACGGGCCATAGGGTCCATCGACGAGCCAAGTGGCAATAAAATGAACCTCATATATTGTAGTCAAGGCTATCTTCTCCGAATCGTGTATTGTCCTCCCTTCCAACGATATCGATGGTGTGGCTACGTTTTTCGCCAGCTCTGCATGTGTTGTGCCTAGTATGCTGGTTAATCGTTGGCAGCGTCCAGGCGTTCACACAACGTATTTATTGCATCCTCATCTCCACATTCTATATTTTTCTCATAACCGAACGTCCAGGGTCTTGGGCAGAAGCCTATTCTCTTGCGAATGAGACTGTCCAACAGTTGACACTGGACGAAAAGCTAGGGTTGGTTATTGGAGTAGGGCAATTCGGCAGTACGTTTTAATTCAGTTTTCGTCATTCTTTGGAGGTTCCTCTTTTGATATTGAATTTGTAGGTCGGTGTGTAGGAAATATTACACCCCCCAGCCGTTCCATAACGCTATCATCGATGACCCTTACTATCCCACCTATATGTTTTAATGATGGTCCTGCTGGTCTGCGGCTCATCAAGGAGGTCACCGGATTCCCAACGGGTATCAATGCCGCAAGTACGTTTAGCCGTCGTCTGATGCAAGCAAGAGGCGTGGCACTCGCCGAAGAATTCAGAGGCAAGAGCGTTCAGTAGGAATAAGGTTCCCACATTTTTGCCGACCCTTATTTATGAGCCTCAGCGTCTTTCTTGGTCTGGCTATGGATATTGTGAGAACAAACATCTTGTCGTCGTGTTCTAAGCACTTATGACTTGCGAGAATTTAGATGAGAAATCCCAAAGCCGGACGAGGATGGGAGCGGTGATATACCCTGCTGTTACATTGCGAATGCTGCGTGTCCTGATAAAATGTTGTCCCGATTTCTAGCGCCGGCCCTGACCCTTACCTGAGTGGGGAATTTGCATACGAAACGATAGTCGGCATCCAGAGCATGGGTGTTCAGGCCTGCGCCAAGCATTTCATAGCCAATAATCAGGAGCATTCGAGGTATGAGTGATAGAATTTTCGCGTCAGTTTTCCCATGACATTTTTTTTCTCAGGCATGTCATTCTTTTTTTTTTGCTATGACTTCCTATGAACACAAAGTTTAGGTACGGTCTAAGCGCAGATGTGGATGACAGGACGCTCCATGAAATATATTGGTGGCCTTTCATGAGGAGTATCGACGTATGTGCCTCGGTCTATTATTTCCACATGCTCATGAACAGGAAACATTTTCCAGGCCGATGTCGCTTCTGTCATGTGTGCGTATAATCGGTTGAACCAAACATCGTCTTGTCATAATGAGGCGCTTATTGGCTCAAATGGGTTGTTAAGACAAGGTGGATTCCAAGGTAAGTACCCAGAACCGTCCGGAGCGTTTCCTCTGGCCTCAAGCGTAGCATCACAGGTTACGTTGTATCGGATTGGGGTGCTACGCATGATTCCGCCAGCGATAATGCGAACGCCGGGTTAGACATGGAACAACCAGGAGACTACCTCAAGATAGGTAATTATTAATATGCTCGCACTGTTAACCAGGGATACCTTCTCAACTCATAGTTTACTTGCACATTAGGTGGCGGCGTGTACGGCAATGGAGGCCTGAAAAGTGCTGTGAACAGTGGAAGTGTTTCCGTCACTGTGAGTTTTTGTCTCTCAAATCCAATAAGTCTGTATTAACTAAATTTTTCGCTGTTAGAGACTCAGTGAAATGGTCGTCCGAGTACTCGCCCCCTTCCTTCACCTCGGCCAGGATTCCGTGAGTTGTCGAAATCGCTTGTTCCTGTCTTAGACTCAGATCTCCTAAGCCCAGGACTACCCAGACATCAATTTCAACGCTCAAGAACCTGACGGGTCTGGCAGCTTGAACCTGGGCATCTCAGTTCGGTCAGAAGCTCACACTGCTCTGACACGAGAAATCGGGGCTGCTTCTGCCGTCTTGCTCAAAAACAACCGAACTACTATGACTGGTATGTTTAGGCTGTGTCGCGTGCTACCGTGTGTTGATGTGTTGATTCTGTGTAAAGGATCCGTTTCGGGGGTGACCGTAAGAGGCCTCCCCGTGGCACAAGAAAGGATCAAGACAATCGCTATAGTTGGCCGGGATGCCAAGATGCCAAATCTGAACTGTAATGACACGGGGGAGTGTAACAATGGGACGATGAGCGTTGGGTATGTGCCTATACATAGAAATGGTTTCTCATCTAAAACGCGTTGAAAGCTGGGGCTCTGGTACCAACTCGTTGCAATACATTGTCCCGCCAATCGATGCCATTACCGATTTCGTTGGCAGTTCGGCAACGATAAATTCGTCTTTGTCCAATGATTTATCCGCTGGTCCTGCCGCCGCGAAAGGGAAGGATCTAGCCATTGTATTTGTAAATGCGTCAGTTCCATTTTCTCGTATGGTGGTATTGTCGTTCATCTCCGGTTGACTGACATAGAATGAGTGGCGAACTCCAGGGTTATGAAACTGTGGCGGGCAATATGGATGATAGGAATGATTTGGACCTCTGGTACAAAGGTAGCAGTCTCGTAAGTTCAGAGACGGTAATCTTGGTCTTGTTCTAATTGTGCTCTTGATCCTAAGGTTAAAGCTGTTGCCGCCGTTTGTAACAACACCATTGTGGTTGTGCATTCAGTTGGACCGGTCTATATGGACTGGAGTACGCATGTTAACGTATCGGCAGTGATATATGCTGGTGCTCCCGGTGAACAGACCGGACCCAGTATTGTTGATATTATTTGGGGAGCCATCAATCCTAGCGGATGGCTCCCCTTCTCCATTGCATATGTGAACAATAACAGATTCTTCTTTTTCCAAGGTACTGATTCGTGTATTTTGATAGGACGAAGACGCGTATGGCACCAAAATTGTATACGACATTCTCGGCTCTCCCACCATATATCCATGTCCCTTGGACTTTTCATTTTTGCGCAACTGATGATTGTCTTCTTTAGATTACCTACACCGAGAAGCTCCTCCTCGATTACCGCTACATGGATCAACAGGGAATTACGCCTCAATTCGAATTTGGTTTTGGTTTGTCGTTCACGACCTTTTCATACTCGTCTCTTTCCATTACTTCCTCTGGAAGTTCCAAAGTGATATCATTCAATATTGCCAACATCGGGGCTTTTAACGGGACCGAGATTCCCCAGATGTACCTCGGTTTTCCCGATGGTGCAGGAGAACCCCAGAAGGTGCTAAGGGGCTTCGATGAAGTTGTTCTAGCGGTTGGAGAGACAAGTACCGTTAGCATGACCATCTCCCTGAAGGAAATGAGGTGAGGTGTCATTATACCGAGATGTTTCATTGTTAACTATATCATTTAGTATATGGGACGTTCTGAGTCAATCATGGGTGAAACCCTCGGGTACTTTTACAGTGTATGTTGGAGCCTCCATCAAGGACATTCGTTTAACAGGGTCCTTTTAACATGGATGTTTCCGCGATTTGGATCTGGGTTCTCTCTTCCGTATTCTATTCGCTCTAAACAGTGGAAACCATTTTGTATTCTTGCTGAAAAAAGACATTTGTATAGCTGTCATCTTTTCATACTCGCCTGTAATACTTTCGGTGACTGAGAAGATTTTAGGCTATTACATATGCCTACGATTTAGATGACCCCGCTCTCACATATCCTTGCATGACAAATGGGTCGGTTTAATTCTGCTACTCTCCGCGATGTGGTTCGAGATTGTACTGTTGCGAATGATCTTCAAACTTCTTTGGCAGCTGCAGTCGGGGGCGATGTCCGCTTCGTCCGCGGATGTAAAATGCGCAATCTTGTTTCATTTAAATGTATTGGCGCGCAACTTGTATCTCCATTGGGGGCGTGTCCACTCTCGCAGACCGTCCGTGCGCTAGAAACCAACTTCAGGCCTCTCAAGATTGATTCTTTTCTTGGTTGGGTGTTATGTTTTTCTCAGTACATTTATCGGCCTGCCTAGTTGCATGCTCCAGTGACGTCCATCGGTTGTCATCCATTCTCGTGAAGAAATCTCGTTGGCGGGGTGACTCCTGGGCAATGGTCGTCTTGTTCACACCCCGGAAAACAATTACCCAGAGGTCTTGTCGCACCATATTTGCTGCAGGAGCTATTCACCAAAGTACGCCGAACCTTTCCCCCCTACTATGGCTTCCAGCTAACATAGTATCACAGTAGAAATCATCAATGTTAAGGTGAAGAAGACCTTCCAGTTCGTTAGCAAGCACCTTTTTTTTGGAACAAGATGCATTCAATACAGCAGTCACTAGCATAGTACAATGCAACTCTCCCGTTACGAAAACAGTATCCTGATGAAGCGGCTTTCCCCGTTCATTATCCTTTTGATGACCAATAACAGGGACAACGGGGACACAAGACTGTCGAGGAGTCGTCAATCTCGAATGCGTAATTCTTACAGTCGAAAGTTCCAGACTGAATCCCTCCCAATATCCTTCCTCAGGACAACAATCACCGGATCGTTGCGTTTTCCTGCGCTCAAGGTATGCTTTCCTGTGATCGTTCACCTTGCGTTTTTGATCAAGTACTGTCGAATTTATTAGTTGGGACTCAAAGGACAAGCCCGCGACGCTGGTGTAAAGCTATAGATCAGTTGCTTGTGTGAGATTTATATTCAAAGAAATGAGCCTATATTCTTGTCCCGTCGACTGAAAGATCAAGCACACATTGAACGAAGATTCTTCTTGCATACACGAAACGTCATTTTGATCACAAAATATTTGCCGTGTATACTTCACGGCGTACCTACTACCATCCCACGATCGGACATTTCAACACAAAAACCTAGGTCCTGAATAAGCGAAACCTATCCACAAAGAAGTTGGAGAACAAAATAATCAACACTTTCTCCCAGAGTACTGGTGAGCTGACTCGCAGGATTGAACCACGGGTGGCCCTTTTTCCGCAAAAGTTGCGCAAAACCGTAGTTTCCGCATGTGTTGGGATTGAAATGACAGACAACGCATGATAATATCACAAGGTCACAAAGAACGATTGTGTCTTCTGCGGTGCGCACTGCGAGCTTGGGTGGGGATCTCACAAAAAGAACACAATCAAATCGACAATCATCCGACTGGGACTCGAACCCAGATAACGATAACGAGTATGATAAGACCACAACGTCACGAAGGATTAAGTGGATGGTGATTTGCAGTTTCATTTATGGCGATGCTCATTGCGGAATGAAGCTGAAGGAAAAGTAGAGAGGGAGTGAGCCTAGTAGTCACCTCGGCGAAGCATGGGTTACATGGAATCGAGCTCAGACTCGTGCAAGGAAGAAAACATTCCCTCAAAGATATAACCCTTCCAGAGGGATTCGAACCCTACTTTCACACATAACGGACCCAGTACGTCATGAAGGACATGTATTATGACTATAACTGGACAACCGTAATCTTCCCCAACCCCGACCCAAGGGCGATCCTCCCGAGTTCTTCATCATAATCCAATGTGGTCCAGTTATTCAGCGGATTCGAGAATACCTCGCGAACACGGGGTTGAGCAGTGGGGTTGAGCGGGCCGGGGAATACAGCAGCCATGAGCGTCTCGTGGTGTTCTTCATCCGGGAAGGTCATCTCACGATAGGGGCATATCCATACAGCAGTCCCACATTTCCCGAGTATGACGCCTGTGCATCGAAGCACACCGCGTCGAGATGATATCTTGCTGGTGAGTATTGGGGGGAAGGAAGAGAGGGAATAGAGTTCGAACGAGTCAACATCTGGTATCCAGGGGTTGTCGCTCTCGGAGCGGATGAGGATCGAGGTGGGGGTTGCACTGGCGCTGTCAATCCAGCCGAATGAGTGGGAGGCAGTGGGAGAGTGTGTTTGTCCATGGAGAAAGGGCGGGGTAGTGTACAGGTTGATGGAGCATGCGCATATGATGAGAATGGTTTGTGCGGTGAAGATGATTTGGATGCAGTGATCGTACTGTTATTCGAGATGAATTAGCGAGAATTAGATCAGTTGGCAAATGATTACCTGCATGTCTCCTCCTTCATCGAGGTAGGCTCGCTCATCCGTCTTCCAATTGTAGATCAGTGTCGTAGAGATGTGGTCGCTGAGGGCTATGATATCACCAGTGAGGGTGACAGGGTGAAGGTCGCTGTCAAAACAGTGAATTTCACGCAGCTTTCCACCGTCGTCCAGATGCAGGAGCACGATTCTCTGTGATCTACACAAGTTAGCGATGTGTCATCAGAACAACAAACACTCACCCATCCAACGCCACAGCCATACTCGCCTCAGACTCTGTATCCGTGTTCAGCTTCACCCCAGTAAACAGCGCACCTCTCAGTGACCACTCGGAACACTTGAACCCGTGCGCAATATCCCAGATTGTAAGCACCGACCAGATCCCTTTCGATACGGTCAACAACCACTTGTGCTGTCGTCCTGGTATGAATTTGATTTCCCATATGGGCGACCCGGTGAAACTTGTCTCGCTCGATGGCATCAGAGGAGAGTCTGCGAGCCATCGAGATGCGAGACGGCAGGCGTGGCACGTGCGTTGCTCAAGATCTGTGTCATCGATTGGAGCGGGGTAGTCATTGAAGAGGATATCGTGTTTGAATGCGTTTGTCCAGACGATGTGCAATCTTGTGAGTGCATTGAATCGTTTACACACCTGTGTGGTCTCAGTAAGTGAGTTGACCAGCACCGGGTAGTCTCACCTGGCGGAAAATCAAGATATCTGGGACGGAGAGAAAAGCAAGAGTGTAGATCAGCACATCGTCAGGCAAGTTGATGTTGTTCATGGACGTTCACGTCGAAGGTAGCTGTGGGATCACGGGCCGAGTAAGCCGGTGACTAAGCCGTTCCCACGGCATCCCCGCAGTCCGGATACACCTGCCGAGAATTTTCGACGCTGCTCCCCTGCTTCACCACTTTCAAGAAGGAACAGCGACATCGTGGGCATCCTCTTTACTATTTAGACCACCACCCCGCCATCATGTTAGTAACCCTTTCTCGCAACTTTCCAAAAAGTGGACTCATGCTTGACTCTGCCACATACCGTTTCCCATGAGATTGGCCCGAACCGATGAGCCTGAAGGGAAAGCAGGGATTGGAATTTGGCCGCGTTTCAGACATATTGACTTTCTCATTCTTGGTGGACTCTTGTTCTCCTTTCGAGGACCTTCACACGGAGAAGGAGAACTAACCAAGAACCGACGAGTATATGCATCTCCATACATAATTATTATTTCGCTGCGACCGAGTCCTTGCTACTCCGAGTCCGCGAGGCGCATCCCATGACTCTCGCAAAATTGGACATATACATGAGTTGTCAGATTAATTTGCTATCGTATCAGGTTGCTATCCAATACACGTTGATATCATTCCACCACCTACGAGGTGTGGCCCATAGATGTTGCGTGAAGATGAATAAGTACTGCGCCACTTCTGTTCTTGTGGCGTCAGCCTTACTGCAATGAACTTGCTCAGGCCAGGAAAGAGAAACCGAGAGCAAAAAAATAAAATGTACGGTCACCAAGATATCTAAGTGACGTCGGATTCGAGAAAAGATACTCCTTTGTGTAAATCGGATTAGTCCCAGCCAAAAGCAGGGTCATGACTGCCACAAGGACCATGGCATCATTCTCGCCAATGCTGCAACGGTAAGCCATTCCCTGTTACTCTGTTCCTTTGACAGATGTGAAAGGTATCAGTGCTTTTTCAGACTTGACGCATCTTGAAGGGTTGACCCTACTGAAACAGCATCCCGCTTCGACGACCTCGAGGTGTTAGGAAATCGCCTGTTTGATGTGTCTTACGACCTCAACCACTATTTCCGACGAGTCGGAAGCAGCTAACATTACGAACGAGCTCGGCTGCCAGGACTCGCAGAAAGTCAGACTCCCACTGACGTACCGGGTACACTGTAACAAGCGCGCGCCTGATCCGACAAAAATTGATCCGCCAAAATTCATAGCAACCAGATTATTAGAATCAGCGGCAGTGTTGTAGATCTAGATCTAAGCATCGAAACACGGATATTGATATGAGAGAATTATGCAGTGTGGTCTTATTCTACAAGTAGCGCCAGGAGAATTGGGACTCGGGATAGCATAAAGCTACACGACAAGTGGAGTCCAAGTACAAAATACTTGAATGATGAAGAGACGAACCCAGCCGATGAAAAATAGATGTTGGGACTGGTCATTGGCATGAATAAAGAGTGGAAATCCTGAACGTATAAAGGTAATTCACACATAGGTACTATGCACTCGGCGTCCATTTGGCCAAGTCTGCGACTTCAAGTCCAGATTCTCAGGAGTCAGACACATCATCGCTGCTGGAATCACCGCCCGATGGATGTGGTGACCCTACAACACTGGATCCAGGACATGTTGCCGCCATGGTTGATACTAAAGCAAGCATGGATCCATTGGAGATGGGGAGGCGGTCCTTCCGAGAAATGGATGTAAGCCAGCAGGCGATTTGTCTAGCTGTAAGTTGTTCAGATCTCCTGGGAAACAGTCGGTAATGAAAGATGAGACACTGATCCTACCTACATTTATGTAACAAAACGAGTCGAGTAAGCTGTTAGAACAAACTTTGACATGTATCAACAGGGTATACTTATGTTGCCCCACTCAGTGCCATTTTGGAGCGAATGCGCGCAGAACATGCCCATCTCAAACAAGGACATGTTCACTATCAGTGTCACCATCCCCTGCCAGAAGGGCTACACAACATCAGGCAAAGATAAACGCTGGAGCTGTACACTCACAAATGTGTGCTATTGCATGGGGAGGAACTTTCATTGTGGGTCCACATTCTCAGAGTCAGTGGGATGGCCAGGGGCATGACGTGACATGGCAGTCCGCTGCCCGGTCCGCGGGTAGGCCTAACCTTCCCGCTATATCACCGGTACCACTTCGAAGATATTGTTACTGTCTCATGTCCAGGCAAACAAATCTATCGATGTTCCTGAATATATACAGCATCCTACTTGATGGACAGCACTAGGCTGAGATGGACCACCCCTTGAATGTCCATGTGGGTCCTTGTTTGAGCTTTACATCAACCGTTTATTACCTTTCCAGGTCATGGTGTATGTTGGGTGTATGTGTTCTTCCAGCTTCGTGATTTACGGACTAGCATCGTGTTCTCAGACCTCATTCTTCCCTTCACCCCCACAATGGATCACTGTCTCCAATGCTGTCTAAATATTGCATTTTCTCCTTTTTTGTTGCTTTGGCGTTAAGCTAGGTAGAACGGGGCGCTTTATAACTGTGAGTCCAATGATCTCAGTCCTCGTTAAAAAGTAGATTTTTATGTAGTAACGATGCTTTACCTCCGTACCATCGAATGGTATTCCTCTATGTGCACTACCCATGTTTATCAGTGTCCAAAGTGCACCTGTATGTGGAGCATATTGTATCGCTGTCCCGCATATTGTGTCGATAAGGGAGGACAACCGTCACTTTTTAAAAGTGCAAAATCTCTGTGTCAAAATTGCACCAGAAAATAATGATTCTGGCACTCGGTAAGACATCCCCTGCTGCCGATACCCATACCTTCTTACCGTTCCACTCCAGAGCAATCTCCTCTTTCTTCCTGTTTCATGATCTCTGGCGGCTTTTTACATCTCTGACACTCTATTTCTGTATTCGGTTCTCTGTCTCTCTTCAAGTCTGGATCTCTTTGCTGTCACTGCTTCCTTCGCGTATCTCTTTATGGTTAATGACTACCAGCCCTCCTGGAAATGCTCGATTCTGTAATGGCAAGTAAATTTTATCATCACAGATCACCTCTCATTTATAAATAAAATGATAGACTCGTCACACTGAACGTCACTCTCTACATTTCTTAGGCATTTTTGCCAGCCAACTACCCTGAAGATATCTTGAATCTAAATTCCCGACACTATAGAATCGCACACCTCACTGCTACCCCTTAATGGACTGTAAATGACGCATCATTTGCCTTGGCTCTTAGCTGCTGGTGTAAACCTGATCCTTGCTGCTTAATCTAACATCGTATGTCAACTAAGCTATTACGTAGAAGGTGTAGAATACTATTTGCCACTAGATTGTAGACCCTTTTTAGTATACTAATCTTGTTGAAAGACATGTATAATTATAATAATTCTTTTCCGTGCACTGCTCAAAGATGATGTCGGTAGTCTCGGGCCCCAAAGCGCTGTGAAAGTTCATTTTGTAATGAGCTACAACTCGAGCGATCTACACAACCAGCACTATTTTTAGACCTGATCACTCGATCGTTTCAGTTCCTCCCGTATTCAGTTCTTAATGACAACATTACATGTCTGCATTTTGACTCGAAATCAAACCTATCTCTTCGTCAAAGTTCACTAAGGTCCTATAAGCGAGGTCCGAGTGTCGCTGGTCACGCATGAGATCAAGTTGCCACATTGAAAACGGACTGGCGAGAGCGGTGATTTGGGGCTTCGACGGAGCGGGAGTGACAAAAAGATAGGTCCCTTAGCCTATTGGCAGTGGTAGTTTGCTCAGCTTTCGCTACTGGGTGTTCTACTGGCTCCGCCGCTCTTCATCAAAATTGAATGTTACCATCACAATGACATGCGATGTGCTTAGTCTTTTTACCAAATTAGGAACGAGAGCGCCCTGTTCACACATCAGCACTGATCCTCTCACGTCGAAGCGCTACACACCATTGACAGCTTCCTTCATCCACAGAAAAATCGCGCTGTTAAGGATTAAACACCCACTGTTTATTTCATCGCGATGAGAAAAACGAAGCTGGTCTGTAGGTCCGAAGAAAATTTCTGCCACCTACCATCGTATAAAACGATGACCAATATGGACAAAGTACCACTGTATTTGTAGGGTAGATAGCACACCGCTCGTAACAAAATGACTCATCGACGCCGTGACATCGTGAAGCAACCTTCATAGCCGGGAACAGCATCAGGGCTCAAAGTGCCACGCCACCTTCCCGCCAAATTACCGTCAGCATTCCCGATAAGGTACCCCCGATAAAGCCACTTTCCTCGATTGCCATCAACCTAGATAAGGTATAGGTAAATGTTAGCGAATTTGACAAGACCTTGGCAACATACGTAGTCCTTAGAGAGACTGATGAAGCTGTCACATGGGCGAACCCTGCCGACAAGATTGAATTCTCCCCATGTTGAATGTCCCTGGGCAACGATATCAATATGGGGTAAATAATAGGGTTCATTGACTGTACCTCGCCTGTTATGATGACTCTGTCACAGACGAGTCTCTGTTCCTCTGGCTGAAGGCGATGTGCTCTCTGGTAATAAAGAGGCTCGTTTCTACCGGGTTCGCGAACTTCAAGTCCATCGTGATCCTCTTTGATATGAATTCCGGTTGGAAATGGGTCATGTAATGAAAGTACCACTAAAACCGAAGCAGGAACCCGACTGATACCCGAGCGAGAGGACGTGACCGACTGCTAGAAAGCCATAGCTTTGTCTGTGGTACCCTAAGCCCTTTCTGATCCTGTCCGAGTCTGAGATAAGGAGGTTCGATAAGAGATCGAGCGAGATGATACAAAAAGGTGTTGCTTTTGATCGCGAATCCTTCGACCGGGACTCAAACCCAGGTGAGCAACGCAGGATAATACCACATCATCACGACACAGTGGTTGGATTTAGGGTTGCGCAATGTATAAAAAGGAGGTTTTGGAAAAAAATTGCAATTGCAATTGCGACGGGTCGAGTCGTGTGGTTTTAGCACGGGATAAGTAAAATATCGTATCAAAACACTGCCCTCAGTGTCGCTACAAAACCGTAACTTACCTACCTGAAGGTTTCATACAGAGTACTAGTTTTTTTGTATCAATGATACCAAAGATATTTTACTGGCCGACAATCCTCCGACCGGGACTCGAACCCAGAAAAGCAGCGCAGAACACACGATAACACCACAACGCCACGAAGATTTACGTGAAGACTGGTTTTGCAGTTTTATTTATAGCGGAAACAAGCCGCCTTTAAGTAACTGCTCAGCTGGCCAATCAGAACACACGATAGAGATCGTATTTTCACTAGGCTATTTGCCTTTCAAATTTTCGGTCACTTGCACGAAGAATGGGTACGCAGAATCAAGCTTAGGCTCATGCGCAAGGAAGAAAAAGATTACAATAAAATTTAACCCTTCCAAACGGATCCGAACCCTAGTTTTGTTAGCGTATCCAGCACGTCATGAAGGACACGTATTTTGACTACAACTGAACAATCGTAATCTTCCCAAACCCCGACCCGAGGGCGATTCTCCCGAGTTCTTTGTCGTAATCCAACGCCGTCCAGTTATTCAACGGGTTCGAGCACACCTCGCGAACACAGGGTTGAGCAGTGGGGTTAAGCGGGCTTGGGAATATGGCCGCCATGAGCGTCTCACAGCCATCGTGTTCTTCCCAATGGGAGACCATCGCACGATCATGGGGGCGTATCCATACTGCGGTTCCACGTTTCCCGAGGATGACGTCTGTGCATCGAAGAGCACCGTGCCAGGAGGATATTTTGCTGGTGAGGGTTAGCGGGAAGGAAGAAAGGGAATAGAGTTCGAACGAGTTAAGCTCTGATGTCCAGGGGTTATCGCTCTCGGAACGGATGAGGATGGAGGTTGGTGTTGCACTGGCGCCATCGACCCAGCCGAAGGAGTGGGAGGCAATGGGAGAGTGTGTTTGCCCGTGTAGGAAGGGCATGGTAAAGTACAGGTTGATGGAGCGTGCGCGGATGACGAGAATGGTTGGAGAGGTGAAGACGATTTGGATACAGTGGTCGTACTGTGAGCACAGATGAATAAGCAAGAATTAGATCAGCTAGCAACGGTTACCTGCATGTCACCTCCTTCATCCAGGTAGGCCCGTTCGTTATTCTTCCAGTTGTAGATCAATGTCTTGGAGAAGTTGTCACTGAGGGCTACGATATCACCAGTCAGGGTGACAGGCCTGAAGTCGATGTCGAAGGAGCGAATTTCGTGCAGCCTTCCATCGTCGTCCAGATGCAGGAGCACGATCCTCTGTGATCTACACAAGTTAGCGATGGGACATCAGAACAACAAGCACTCACCCATCCAACGCCACAGCCATACTAGTCTCGGACTCTGTATCCGTGTTCAGCTTCACCCCAGTGAACAGTGCGCCTCTTGGCGACCACTCTGAGGACTTGTGCCCCCGCGCGATATCCCATATTGTCAGTACCGACCAGATTCCTTTCGATACGGTCAGCAACCACTTGTACTGTCGGCCTGGTATGAATTTGACTTCGGATACAGGCGACCCGGTGAAACTCGTCTCGCTCGTCCAATCAGAGGAGAGTCTGCAAGCCATCGAGACGTGAGTCGGTACGCGTGAAGCGTGTGTTGCTCAAGATCTGTGTCATCGATGGGAGCGGGGTAGTCATTGGAGAGGATATCGAGTTTGAATGCGTTTGTCCAGATGATGTGTAATCTTGTGAGCGCGTTGAACCGTTTGCATGTCTGTCATTATTAGCAGCTAGGATCATTGGGTCGGGAAATACTCACTTGTCGGAGGAGGAGGATGTCAGGAACGGGAAGAAACGCGATAATGTAGATCAGGACATCATCAGGTAAGTTGTATGGTGCGTCGTTCATGGACGTTGCAGTCCAAGGTAACTGTGCGGTTACGGGCCGAATAAACCAGTGACTAAGCCATTCCCACCACTTGCCTACGGCATTTCCGGAAATTCCGATTTCTTCCTGCTACACCCACCGAGGAAAGAACCAATGGTCGGTACTGCAATAGTCGCACCGCGGAGACCGATGTTGTGCACGACTCGCCCTTGCTTCACTCTTTTGAAAAAAGGAACAGCGACATCATAGGTGCCCAGCCCATGTTCGTACTAAACGATTACCAGCCCTTTCTCACAGCTTTCCAAACAACAGATTCATGCTTGACCGCGCACGCAGATAAGATCTTCCTCTTTTATTTAGATGAGAAAATAAACAATGTGGCTTCCGTGGCTCGCAGCATAAAAAGCTTCTTATGCGAGCTCAAACCGTGGCAAGAGAACTTACTACTAAGTATCTCAATAGCTCCTATGGTACGAGAACTCGATTAAATGAATGTATACGCTCCCTTCTTTCACGCTTCACTCGACTACCAACAGAATTGTATCTCAAGGCGATCTAGTAAATATGGTCGAACGTCAGCTCTGGTCCGGAGCCAAATAGTATATGTTCTTCTAACGTGCCTCCCTCGCTGAAACTTTATCACACCGGCTCACTACTGCCGTGCGGGCGCCATTCACCAGTGTCCAAAGCCAAAAATTAAGGAAATAGCGTAAAATGCACCAGGGGTGAATCGAGCCCTACTTAAAAGTTTACCATTGTGCCGTGTGAGGGATATCGATTCATTACTCATGAAAAAAAGCAGGTCTTACTCCAAGAGTTAAGATTTTGTCGGCTAACTAAAGGGCGATAAATCTACGGGACCAGATGTACGGATAAATATCTTATGGGCGAAGAAGCATATGTTCAATACAACGGGTGTATATTGTGAGATGGGAGGAAAGGGAACGTTAAGAGAGCCTGTAAATATCATCAGAAAGATGGAAGCTGAACATAGGTATCAGGTGAACCACAGGGTTTCTACGTTTTTGGAATAAAGTCGATTTTCGGGGTATGCCTTACCGCGATATTGTGGGGATATTCCAGCCTCACCATCGGTCCTTTCAATGTCAATGAAGTAGAACGTGGGATGGTATATATCGAGGAACCTGCAAACATAAGCTGGAAAAAGTGCTGACGATAGAATACGAATACATTACCATATGGCAAAAACCTGCAGGGAACGCAAGTATTAGTAATAATAAACAGAGTGACTGACGAGGAACTTGACTCTGCAGAAATAGAATGGGGTAGAATTTATGATAGAATCGCCTGGCCTCGGATGGTAACCGCGCCTGAATGGCTGGGAAACTGTGAACGCCAAATAGCTTAGAACTCATGGATACGTGCAAAGAGGCGCAGAGAGCACCAATGGATATAGATTCGTACATTTTGGAAAATTCAGCAGTCATGGAATACGTAGCGAGCCCCTGCGATGAATATTAATAGACGGATTCAATCTTTAAGTATATCTCGGAGCTGGGTCTAAAATATCTTTCCATGAGAAATCGGAGGGTAAGATTGGAAGGGTTGATCTTCTCGAATGTGAGCGTGAAGGTTGGAAATACGAAGCGAAAATAAGAAGCTGAACAGATCGTATACAGCACTAAGCTTCTGGCATGTCATCCTTGTTGTAAGCATCGTTCGCCTTCGAAGTTACTCATGCGCGTTCATCTCTTGGCGCGTCTCAGTTTTAAAGTACGTGATGGGGATATATCGAACAAAAGTCCCAGGCAAAGTAATCATATCAGGTTCTTTACGTCCATGTAATTTAAGCACACGCACCCATTTTTCGCAAAGTACTTAGTCTAGTTGGACCAGCAGACGCACACAGAGTTCCGTCCTTTCCCTCAGATTCCTCTGGTTGTTACTCCCAATTTTCTAGGAAGGGTGACATTGAATTGGTGTCCTGAACGCGATCCTGTAAACTAGAACGTACCACGCCAGTAAATGCTCCACCAACTACTAATCAGAATACCTTCAGACAACCCCATACTTCTTGTCCCTTACGACTACATGAAGCTAAATCGTCTTTTTGTTTCAAATTGAAATCCACAAGAGAGGGAATGTAAGAGGTGCCAGCGACAGATGTAGTTGGAATACTCATCGCAGAGGATTTTGAGCCTGAACGCCTTTATCTATCTGTTGTGAGCGGATTGACCCGTTTACACGTCTGTAATCTTAGTTAACCAGGATCTTAGGATTAGAAATCGCCTCACCGTGCAGAGGAGAAGGATGGATGTCCTCCCAGGTTGTATCCTCATCGGTGTTTATTCGTATGCAAGGTCTGCTTGTTCCATCGATTGTCGAACGAGAAACGGGTCGAAGAAGATCATTGGGCACAGCCACCGGTAATCTAAGTCTGTTTCGGTCTTTCCCGCGTTTTGATTCGATTGTTTATCTTCTCCACTCTCCTGTCGCATAGGGTGCACAGATAATAGTGCCTTTCCCTTTTTTTACATTTGTGCTGAATTATTCCATGACGAGCACTGCCATTCTTGGGAGTACGAGTCCGACTCCAGGTCTGTGATTTTGATTCCGCTCAGCACACAATGACGGACACATGGTCTCGGGTCACTGCGTTATAAAGCCTGTTACCATCGCATCCACTGGGAAGTATAAAGTGAATAACCCCACTTCGTGTATCTCACCAATTTTTGCTTAACAAATGACCTTTGCGACCTTTTCATACCATTGAAACGCTCAAGAAATTATTTAATTCAACAAAAATGATGTTAATGATACCAAAATTCTTCAGGAGTGGCGGTTGTACTAATCTGGAGTATTCGCTAGGCTAACGTGTCGAGGCCATGTTCTATGGACATTTGATTGTACGTATGATGTGTCAACCACGCCGACGACCACACGACCATGTTCCACACGACCATGTAGCCATGCAGCCAACCACACAAAAATCCTCTTTCCCGGTCTTAGAGCTGCTGGCGACGGAGCTACTGCTGCTAGCACCTGGAGTGCTCAAGCCAGCATGACCCGGAAAGGGGGAGGATGGAGCCTGTGGATTGGCATCTGGAGTCGAAGGCCGTGTGATATCAACCGGCGGAAGAGTGGTATTGGAAGGTGCAGCATCCGGGGCGTGAGGTACATCTGGCTCTGAAGACGTAGTACGATGTTGATATACACCCCGCTTCCTGGCTGCCCAATTATTCCATCTTGCATAGCTGTCGAGCAGGGGGACAGGTGGCGGATGGGAGTGGGGTCCAGGGCAGCAGTCCTTCTGCCATGTCTCGATGCATGCATTCCAATCCTTGCGTCGGTAGAATTCAGGCCGGAAGCGATACGTGTCGATTTGCTCCTGGCAAGACTCCCTGAAAGAGAACCTTTTGAGATACGGGCACCCAGCATCGAAGAACGAAGTATCTCACCAGGAAGTGTAAACGCCGGGCTTGATGCCTTTTTTGACGATGTATAGTCGAAGCTCTTCCATGGTACAAGATGCATGGATTCTATCAGGATAGAACGGCGGATTGCAGGGCCCATGGCACTGCAGGACATTTTCCGGGTTGGCAAATAGTTGAGAATTATTCTGGTCGCTCGCCATTGATGAGGAGGGTCTGTCAAAGACGAGGAAGAGGGAAGTAACGCACTGAAAGAAAGACGTTCATGATGAGAATGGCTATTTAAAGCGACCGATTGGAGATTTTGACATCGTCTAGCATGTATCATCAGTCAATCAAAGGATGCGACACTGAGGACTGCGCTAAACGATGAAACATCAAGTGAAGTCTTCCTTGACAGATCGACCGTGTTGCCATCAATTTATAGTGATGATGGATCTAGCGGTTCACATAATTCTTCCACCGCTTGTGCATACATATCTGCAGAGCTGAATTGATGAAGAAATACCCGCGTCGAGTGGATAACTGCGATAGCAGTGCCAGCAGCCATGGCGATGATAGATACAGTCAGTGGTCGATGAGTTTATGGCTTGGCATAGATCTTTCTGGCCCACGAATGTATAGCTTGAAGATAACATGTCTCCGAGTCCCTGACACGTCGCTCAGTATACGTGATGGGATTCCGAAGGCAATGACATGTTCCTGGGTCTAGATGTTGTTCAGCATGGGTGCAGAATGTAACCACATAAATGGCCATTATATGCGGCACATTGTGGGTACTATTGAGACAAAAGGTACATGCACACAATTTTGAAACTAAGAATCCGGACACTTTCTATTTTTATGCGAAGAGAGATTCGACAGCGATCAGTATTAGGCACACCCATCATAATTGTGGTTTTCAGAACTATTTTAGGATCAGGGATGATTTCGAGAGCTGATGGTGCTATTAATAGAAACGGCTGAAGGCGTGCGGTTATTACAATACATGCCGTCTATTAGTATAATATTATTAGTGTCTGATTTTTGGATCCCGATGGTGGGTATGTCTACTTGCTACATTACGTTCAACTCGAAGGATAAGAATTTTGATGTTATGCGTGTTTTTTCTTCCTGCTGTCCGCAATTAATACCTGTCCGACTTTTGGTACGCAAGTCGAAGTCTGGTAAGATTTAGCTGCAGGACGCCTTCGTGGCGTAGTGGATACAAGTACACCTTGGGTTCGAATCCCAGCAGAGATATATAGTAACATTGGCTTTCATTTTATTACTCGCATCAAGAGGGACCTGCACCGTCGACTGAACCTTTTTGTCGACATGACATCAAAATCAAACTTTTCTGTGAGTGATAATTAACGTTGCTTGGCTTGGGTGGTGCTGAGAGCAGAATGAAGCTTGAGCGATGTAGTTACTTCTCTCGGCTCCAATTTCCACGCCGATCCACTATTGGTGCTGGCATGGGAATGCTTGCTCGTCTTTCGCCGGAGAATCACACTTTTCACCCTTCTTATTTCGAACAAAAAAAAACGAAAAAGTTACGAGTTTTTGTACCTTGAAATAGCACCTTGGCGGAATCGAACCACGGAAAGACGGGGTACGTATCGAGCTGCATGCAGAAAACTGTACTTGAGACCTTGAATAACGTAAAGAAGCCAAAGGCCCAGCAACTGGATGAGTATAACGGAAGCGAGATCACGTCCAACATGGTAATGCTCGACTTTTCTTTCCGTGCAGGAAGAAAAAGAAATCCGGGAGATAAAAGACACCTTCAGAAGGGATTCGAACCCCTGATATATGGTAGTGGAAACGACGTAGCCAATACACCACGAAGGGTATATAAAACCCAGACCCTTCCAAGTTCTTCACGCCGCCATGAGTTGACCCGGGAATAGGACTGCGATTGGTGCTTTGCCGCTGTCATGCTCCTCCCATGGCACGAATGTGTGAATGGATGCATACTGTCGTTCTCTACCTGCCGAGAACAATATCAGTGTATTAGAGCGCAGGACGACGGGATGCTGTCTCGCTGGAGGAAGGTGTATAGGCAGGCATGTTCATTCATAATGCACGACGGGATAATTTAGAGCTCGCACGAGAGGCTCAAGTGTTGTCATTCTCGGACTAGATGAGGATGGAGAGAGCGCCGTTGGGTGCGGATGAAGGAGCACTGACGCCATCGAAGTGGTGGGGTATCGTAGAGGTGGAGGTCGGGGGCAAAGACGACTGGTCGGGGAGAGCGCAGCGTAGAGGTTGATGGAGGCGCATTCAGAGGGCTAGGATGGTGTGTGCGGTGAAGATGGCTTGGATGTAGCGGTCGTACTGTGGGCACCAGATATGAATAAGCGTGATTAGAAGAGCTAGAGTATGCTTACCTGCACGTCGCTTAAGCCTCGCGCGTGCCGGTCTCCCAAGGATGTCGACGGCGAGGCCAGATACTGTAGTTGTTATAGTGGATTTTGTGCATAGTTCACAAGTTGTCGAAATACAATCCCCGAGTTACCTGAAACCTAAATAAGTTATCCGTTGTTCATCAGAGCAAAGAGTGCTTACCCATGCAATGATACCGCCACAATCGACTAGTCCGCGCCAATATCCCAGACCATCAGGGTCGACCTGGTACGCGTAGCATTTAGTTGTGGACGCCGTCCCAGTCCTCGACAGCAGGCGAGTCGGAGAATCTAGAGTAGTTGGAAAACCGTATAACTGGGTAGTCAGCAGAAAGAACACCAAAGCGTGGATGTGGTCGTGTAGCTTTGTGAGCTGTTCGCATTCAGGAACCAGGATCGTATACCAATGACATACTTGGCATAGAAGGAGGGGAGTAAAATGTGATGGTGTTCGTCATAGAGGACTAGTATGATTACGTGCCTGTGCGTGGGACCGACATTGTGCACGATTCGTCCTTACTTCGCACGATGACAAGAATGTAGTGGATATAGGCAATGTTAAGCGAAACGAGCAGTGGTCGGCGCAGGACTGTTTTGTTGATCAATAGGTTCCCATGGAAATGCATCGAGCTGAGACTTCTTCCTTTCTTTCTTTCTGGCAGCTGATACTAAGAACATCCGGCATGCCTATGAGAAGGAAGATGATGGACCCATCATGAAGCATACGTGATCCCAGAACAACAACCAGTTGCTGCGAACGGAGCTGGTGAGGTTTTCCCGATTCCGAAGGGTGCGGAAGTTGAACATCCCTGAACAGAAAAAGAGCATGCATTCCTCTACAACAGAAAAATGGCGATCTCCCCAAGCCCAGTCTTCATCATAATCCAACGCCGTCCAATTGTTCGACAAGAACGAGGACTTGGGTGGTGGGCTAGGGAAGATAGTGGTGTGTTCGACCACGGTCGGGGTCTGGGGTGAGGATGACTTGCATGCAATGGTCATACTGTGGGTACAGTTGAATAAGCGAGTTTAGAATAGGTAGAGGATAGGTACCTGCGTATCGTCTCCTTCATCGAGGTAGCCGTTTTCACAGGCCTTCCAGATGTAGGACAACATTTTGGAGGGGTTGTCGCTGGGAGCTAAGTCGTCGGCTGTGAGGTTGACTGGGCGCAGGTCAAAGTCGATGGAGTGGATTTCATCCAGGGTTCCCGTTGTCGTCCAGATGCAGGAGTATAGCCTACATAAGTTAGCCGTCGTTGACATCCATCCAAGATATTTAGGTTCCGTGTTGAGTGAACAACGTGCTTCTCCGGAACCACTCTGAGGATTGGTATCCGCGTCCGATAACGCAGACCATGAGGACAGACCAGATTTCTCTTAGAAACAGCTAGAAGACGGTAGCATTGGAATATGGAGGTTATGGTGAAGGTAGTCTCAGGGAGAGGAGAGCCAGCGGGGGGCGGATCGGTAGGCGTGGCACGTGTGGTGCTCGAGATCGGCTTCATCGCAGGAATACGGTTAGTCGTTGGAGAGGATGGTGAGTTTGGAAGCATTCATCCATACGATGTAGAGTCCTGTGAGCATGTGGAAACATTTGTGCATCTGGGTTCTCACTGTCAATGACGCATGCCGGGAAGCAGGGGGAGTCTTACCTGGCGTAGTCATTTTTCTTCGCCATCATCGCGTCATCCATCAAGCCCACCCAATCAAACAGCGCATTAACCTCATCACTATTGACCCTGACCCTTCGACCCTTCCTATACCACCTACAACGTGATGATTCTTCGTCACGAGGATATACACCTGCGAGGGACCAAGGAACGCAAAGGAACGTCGATATATAGCTCTGTGACAAGATCCGGTTGATGTTTATCGTCTTGGGAAGGATGTTCCGTGTTTTATGCTGGTCTTGAATAAATGCTGGGGAGCGCTAAGTAATCTAGACAATAAAATCAGTTATCATGTCGCCAGAAGCGTACCAATATAGCTCACATCACTGGATTGCTTTTATCTCGATCAGATGTCCTTCTTGCCAACTTGGAGTTACAATCTGAGGAAGAAGGGGGATCGCGCGTCTCCGCACAGTGAGGGAAGCAAGCAAGACCGGAATTACGAAATAACACCAATCAAATGCCCACGTGAGGTACAGATGTCAATTTCCAATTCTTCCACCCTCTCGTTGTCGTGCAATCTTTCAGGAATTGCTCCTGCAAAAGTCTTCAATGGATGACTGATCTACCTGACATTCCGATTCTCACCATAAATGCAGGATCCCATGCCATTCTTCCGATCTGGATTTTTTATGGCCAGGGGGGGTTTTAAGGCTGTTCATCACATTGTTCAGGCCATCGTTACTCGTTAGATTCATCTACCTTACGCTGGCTGATTGTACCACCAAATCCAGCCCCTTGACCAAGCTAAAAATACCATACACGAAGACTCTTACCCTGCCGGCCGCCGCGTTGGAGGTGCCGTCCATCTCCTCGGTCTCCCTTTCGTTCATCGCCACTCTCTCCTCATTGGAAACCAGTATGTTTTTATCTCCAGTTTGTGTAGGTCCATGGGTATTCATCATCAAATGACTTCCGAGAACATCTGAGGATTGTTTTGAGCGACCAGAAGAGATACTATCGCCTTCAGGGAATGGACATGTACCCTTACCGCCAACCACACTCCTTCCCATGAGATTGGTCCGAACCGACGAGTCTGAAGGCAAAGCAGGGATTGGAATTTGGCCGCGTTTCAGAAATATTGACTTTCTCATTCTTGATGGACTCTTGTTCTCCTTTCGAGGACTTTCGCACGGAGAAGAAGAACTACCCAAGAACCGGCGAGTATATGCATCTCCATAATATTAATTATTTCGCTGCGACCGAGTCCTTCCTACTCCGAGTCTGCGAGTCGCATCTCATGACTCTTGCAAATTGGACATATACATGAATTGTCGTCGGATTAATTTGCTATCACATCAGGTTGCTATCCAATACACGTTGATATCATTCCACCGCCTACGACGTGTGGCCCGTAGATGTTGCGCGAAGAGGAATAAGTACTGCGCCACTTCTGTTCTTGTGGTGTCAGCCTTACCCGAAATGAACTTGCTCAGGCCAGGAAGGAGAAACCGAGAGCAAAAAAATAAAATGTAGGGTCGCCAAG